TACCATTTCGAAACTAGAGAGAACAAAAGTTCTGTCATTTTCTTTGCAAGGCCATCTTGAAATAGTTACGAGTGCGAGTATTAAAATAAATTATTACCTACAATCCCGTCTAACATTTTCGAATGACGTTCGTGATATTGAAGTTATACAGTATATCAAGAATAATACGAAACAGTATCTTTCTGACTTTGATCGTTTAATTATTACTTGCAAGAGATTTGATATCTCATTCTGATTTTTGCGAACACTGCTGGACATTTCAAAATGAACTTGAAATTCATCTTGAACTTCGAATTCGAATTCACGAATGTATATTGAACTTGATCTCGCTATTAAGTAGTACGCAGCACTTCAGATAATGAAAATCGGATCTCTGGTAAATTAATAACACCGACCCACGACGTAAAATACACCCCCCGTGACTCAACGTGAATGATCAATATTTCGCGTTTAACTGGCGAATAACGACGACGCTTGTCGTCGAACGACGTGTACGCCAGCGCCACAGCTATGCACTTTTAAAGCTACCCCGTGAGATAGTGGCCATTCCACGGGCCCATCGTCTAATAGCTGCCTTTAAAACGAGTCGACCTCGGCTGAGAAACGATGCAGAGAAGGGTTTGAGAAGAGGGGTGGAAGTCGTGTACAAGTTCCGATTCCGACGTCCGTACGGTCTAGGCCAAGGGATCCTTATCTAAATTCCCGAGCATATCGCGTGCTCCTCGGATAAGCCGACCACGAATCGTAATAAGGACAACGAGAATTTACTTGCAGCGAAATACGAGACGGCGCCGTCAACTCGGCCGGGAAACTTTTATGAGAAAAACCTACCCCTGAGATGCCCCGATGCTCCCCCCTGCGTCACCCTCACTTCAGCGCAATATAGAGGAGAGAGTTACTCCTTGAAATTCGTCCGGCGATTTTCCTTCACGCGTTCCTATCCCCTCCGCCGATCTTTCTCCCTTTGGTTTATAGCCCTCGATAAAACAGAATTTTATTCCTACCCCTTTCACGGCGTTCCGAGAGAGACTTAATTTCAGAGGACATTGCGATAAATACGAAGGCCGAGGGATGTTTTTCTTTTTTTTTTTTTTTTTTTTTTTTCTTCGTCGTGCCGAGAACCGATGGAAGAATCCAAACGAAAGATCGTAAGACACGAGCAGTAAGAAGCGAGATTAATAAGAAAAGGAAAGTATGACGATTACGCGTCCACCAGAGGCTAGTTGAATTACGAGAATCCCCCCCCCCCCCTTCGATTGTATCGCGCGAGTTTTCCCTGTTCTTTTAAACAACGTGGTGATTACAGAGCAATAACGCGGCGAGGATGTTCTTTGCTGTTCGAGAGGGCGAAAAACTTCTTATCTACGAGAGTTCTTGGGGAATATCGCGTGTCCCCCAGATAAGCCGACCACGGAGTTGCAGTAAAGACAATGAGAAGTTAGTTTCCAACGAACGGCACAGGTCGTCGGTTCTTGTTGTCGTAGTCATTGTCGGCGACCGTTGTATCTTGGATCTTGGTTAATCGTTCGCGTCCGTGATCGTGAAACGCGTCACGAGTAAAAAGGGCAACGAGTGGCAATAAAGACAACAAGGGCCACGTCTTTGTTGCCCGGTTGCGTATCTACGATCTCTCTTATTCATGCGGACTGCGCCGGTCCCGTTATTTACGTCCATCACTGCGAGCACGGCCACGGTCAAGAGTGCGGTGAATGGCGATAAAGAGTCCCCGACTGTCATGCTCATTGACGACGTCGTAGCCGCGTCATCATCTCTATTTTCCAAAGCAACTCTCTTTCTCGCTCGGACGCAAATAAAAGTCTCCGTTTGGAGAAGAAGCAACGAAATATGAGAGAAAGATGAGGGAAATGTCTCAAAGAAAAGGAAGGCGATGAAACGGATACATACAGTAGTAAATCAAGAGCGGAATATCTAAACAGGAATGGATTTAGTCAGATAGGAATAGAAAAGTTGGAAGAGTCGGTCTGCGAAATTCTGAAAGAAGGGGATAGAGAAGTACAAGCACAGATGCAAGACAGTAGAATAAGAAATTTAGTATATAATCCCAGGTACAAATTGACAAGGTGCTGTAAGAGACCAGAGTATTTAAAGAGGTTGTAAAGAAAACCAAAGACTAATTAGCTAGAGTTAGATGTGGAAATATGAAAGAATATAACAAATACTGGTTAAACAAGGAGGACAGGAAATGTAGACTATGCGAGAGAGAATGCGGACCGTTAAAGCATTTATTGGAAGAGTGCGAGCGAATGGAGAAGTGCGAGTATACTGAGGAGCAGATTGTAGAAGGGAGAGTATGTGCAAGGGTTGTCAAATGATTAAGCAAAGTAGAGAAGAAAGAGAGATGGGTAAGTAAAAAACAGTATGCTGACGAATGAATGTAAAGAATTGTAATTAGCTGTAAGTTAAAGTATGAAGGATGTGAGTGTGTAGAAATATTTTTGTAAGCCAAGTCTATTTCTGGGCCTAAGGACTGAAATTAATGAAAATTAAAATTAATTAATTAAAAGCCTCCGTTTCGTTTCGTTTCGTTTCGTTTCGATCTCATCGACAGCTAACGGACTAAATTAAACAACTAAATAACTGTGAAGGATTGACGCAAATCCAGCAGAAAGAGAAGACAGAATCGTCGAAGAAGAGAGAGAGAGAAACGAAAGAAACGCCGACTGTAACTCAAACGCGTCCCGTTTTCCGCGATCATAATTTTATATATGATCGCGTGCACGCGCGTCTATCACGCGCCAAGTCACCGTCTTGGTGGACTCGATCGCGAAACAAGTAAGTCGGTCGATTCGTACACGATCCAATGCGAGAGACGTTGCCAACGTCGGCACGATCGGGTGTCTCTGCGTCGAGATTTTTGACTCGCGGCCGCGTGTCGCGTCGCCTCAAACTCGTGCCCAAGCCAGAAGAGCAAGAAGAGAGAAGAAAATGAACGAAACGTGGACGCGCGAACGCGCGAGGGGAAGAAGAGGGCTGAGATTGAACGGAGGGAAAGAGAAAGGCGCAGTATTCTTCGTTGAATAATATATGCGCTTGCCAAGAGGCTGCAGGATAAATGTAGTCGTATTTGCACAACAATTTCCAGCGTGTAGCTCTCGTGAGCCGTCGGTCCGTTTGCCGAGGGAGGAGGTCGACGTTTAATGAGCCGTGTCTCACCCTCGCCCTCACCCTCGCCCTCGTTCTCATTCCCGTCCTCGTCTTCGTTACATCGCGGAGATCGTTTGACGTACAACCCGACCGGTGGCTCGTCCTTCTATCTGGACGAGCAGCTATACTCGTAACTAACGTCGGTCGAACGCCACGCGAGACGACGAAATTGAGATCGGCCGATCGTTCACCATCATCGTCGTCGCGAGAGAGATTTGTCCCGAGGAACTACCTCGGGATTTCTTTCTGAACTGCTCTAAACTGCAGTCTCGCCGAGTATAAAACGGCAAAAGAGTTCTCGTGGCGAGGAATGTTTCTAATTTTTCACTGACGCACGTAGAGGCGGTTTAGTCTCGGTTTAAACGAAAGAGAGAGAGAGAGAGAGAACGGTGACACGGCGAATGTTTCAATGGCTTAACGAGTGCGAGATTCTTTAGAAACGATAGCAGCGGCAGGTTGGTCGGATAATCCACGTGGAATTTTCATTAGAAAACATCGTCGCGAGGAAACGGAAGGAAATTGTTGGAGTGGACTGGCGCGTGCTACGTGTACTTCAATAATTAAAAAACTTGTTTGTTGTTAAAACGATGCTTCGCCCTTTCTAGACAAGAAAATCCAAGAGAATCCCTGCGGCAGCCCAATACTTAAATGAGATTCTTTAGACTTTCGCGGGCCAGGTGTTTGCAATTGAATCTATTAGAAGCTTCCGGGTGTAAACCGTGCCCTTTAGGGAAATAATCCCGAGGCTTCGCTGCCGACTGGCATCATCAGAGATCTTAAGACTCTCGGATATTCTAAGAACAGACGGCTTACATCCAGAAATCTCCGATAATTTCAATTGTAAATTCTTTCCGGCGTCCTCCTTTTACGCCCTCCTTTCCTCTTCAATTATTATATTGATGAAACTACGAAACTCGAATCGAATGGATTCTCGGATACTAATTCTCACGGAGCCGGAGATTTTACCTCGTGTATTTGCCAACGGTTTAGCACGCAATTCAACGCGAACGTTCGACTTAATGAACTGTAACTGAAACCAGAAATTCAGGAAATATCCGGAGTATCGTCATATTCAATCCGTAGAACTCTCTAGAAACGCTCGTGAAACTTTTTCGCATCACTCTCCAATTAAAAACACAAAAAACACGGAAACAAATGAGTTTTCATTCATTCTCGAAGAGCTTGAAAAATATAATTCAACATATAGTTCAGAGACGTTTCGATTCGCAGGGACGTGGTACAAAACGCAATGTCAGTGAAATTTAAAAGTTCAGGAAATATCTCGAGCATCGCTGTAAATTCCTTTGAACTATTGGTGAACGTAAGAAAATTTTAACCGCAGCAGTGTCGGCAGAAACTTTCTTAATGTGCTCGAGATGTTAATCAAAGTTGTCATTAACGCCCCGATACGTGGCTCAAAGGAGACGTTGAGTGGTTCAATTCAACGAGCTACGGCGTTAAACGTAACAATTCCGGAAACATACCGAGTGCCATCGAACAAGTTAAAGAAACGCCGCGATGGCGGAATCCATTGTCGAAAGCTCTTTCTCTGCCCATATTTACAAACCAAACACGCGGACTTTCACGCGGCAAGCACGACCGAAATGTTTCCCTCTGTTGAAACGTTTCGTCGGCCAACGCGTGGGACGAATTGCGCCACTGTTATTTTTTCGGGGTTAATTTGCAGTCAAACGATAATGGCCGAGGGACGCCGGGGGCAGGGGACAAGAGGAGAACGGAGTCAAGACCGATAGCAATTTAAGCGCCGCCAGGGATGGCTGGTCTAATAGGGCTTCCTCGTCTTTCTTAACGTCCGACGACGCGGTGTCGCTTACCTAAATACCGGAAGTGGTTGCCTCGAAAACGGCGACGGTCTCTCGCAACGCCGGTGGCCCTCCCCTTAAGCCGGCCTGAAAACAAGAAACACGGATGAAAGGAAGATTACGCGAGCGCGCACGCCGTCACCCAACCTCCCCCTTTGCCTCGTCCGGTGCAAACAATCGCACGAACGAAACACGGGCAACGGGAGTTTAGATATGCAAAACGGACAGATTAAGTTTTTCATCGATCCAGACGTGGGAATCCTCTCTCTCTCTCTCTCTCTCTCTCTCTCTCTTTCTCTTCCGTTTACAATCCAATTTCCCTGTTGTCTCGAACGTCTCCACGATTTCTTCAATTACGAACGATGAACGTCAAGCTCCGAGTGAATCAAGGGATTACTCTCTCCTTGATTTTCTTCCTTTTTTCCCTTTCGTTTTGCTTTCGCCGCGTCTCTCAAAGTAACGGAGTCGTACACAATGCGGCCGCGGTCGCATTTAAATTACTCGGATCCCCGGTCCTTTAATTACGAGATCCGCCTTGAAAACGCAGATAAAGAAACGAAGGAAAAGGAACGGAGCGGGGGGGTTTAACGAGCCGCGTGAATCCGTTTAAAAAAAAAAAAAAAAAAAAAAAAAAGCAGGCTTGCCTTTCGGACCAGTCGGCTGAAAATCCTCTCTCGCGAGCTCGTTCTGTTCCAGAGGCTGAAGCCGAGGCTTTTGTTGCAACGTGAAAACACGGCCTACGAGCGTTGGAAGGCTTTCCGCCAGACTCCGCGCCGTGGCTCTCGCAACTTTTATATTGTTTCACGGTGAAACCGCGGATCCGTTGAGAATCAGCGACCTCTGCGCTGGACGCGGGAGAGAATGGGCCGTAAGGGAGAGGACGGGAAAGAAGAGAGAGTACGAACGCGGAAAAAAAAAAGAAAAGAAAAGAAAAGAAAAGAGAGAGAAAGAAAAAACAGCGCGAGGGGGGGGGGGGGAAGTAACGCGCACCGTGTCTGTCCTGTGTGTAACCGGCGGTGTGTCTGCATTTATGCGCGTGCAAAGTTGGCCACGGGGAGGATGCCTTCGCGTCGTGCGGCGCTGTTTTCGCAAGCTTGAACCAAATACGTACACAGCCAAGGGGTTAACCGAGCGCGTATCCCCTGCTATCGTCATAACCCACATAGAGGGCGTCACACCGACGGGGCAGAGAAAAGGGAGCGAGGGCGAGAGGGGCGGCCGGTGACGTCAAATTCGCGCACACAGCCTCACACAGATGCGTCGATAAGCTTTGCTGGATGCTGCGCTCCCGTCTCGCCCCGTTTCTCACCCCTCCCTTCCCCACGCTGCCCTTTTTCTACCCTAACTACCGAACTATGACGTAAACCGTTTTGCGAACGGTTTTCCATTTATCTTCGCTCTCTTAATTTCCTCCGGAAAAATCGAAAGCCGCGCCCGGCCCCGAACTCGCCTGCGTCCTCTTCGCACCCTTCTTCCTCCCTCCCTGCCTCTCTGCAACTCCTCGAATGTAATACATCTCTGCGTCAAAGTGTCAACTCGACGTTGGATTCGCGCGTTGAAAACATAGCGGGGGGGGGGGGGGGGGCGGATTTTCGAACGAGGTTTCGAGCATCTGTTTCGTTGTACCGTTAATTTGACGAAGCCGCGGAGGGGCATGGGGGCTTGAATACGTAATTGCACGTTCGATGTCGCACGACAGCTTCGAAGAGAGGGGAGATTTATTTGCCGGGAACGTGACGTTCGCGTGGAAATTTGTTGTAACAAATTGAAATGTATACATACGCGGCCGGCCAATGCCGGGGGATAAATCATTTCTGGTGTACACGGTATTCCTAACACGATTTCGGTCGGTTACGATTTTGGGAAGTGTAGAGCAGCGTATCATATTCATATATAGCTCTGGATTAACCCTTTCGTCCGTTCATCTGCAATTCAGGATTATCCTAATATATTCAGACGGGTGGCACAAATGACGAGTGGCAGAGGTGGTGGGAAAGGGGGCGGTTGAAAACGGTCGGAATAAACGTATTACTGCGTGCATTAATTATACTTCCGGGCGACGTTGGACGAGAACGTTTGAGAGAGAGAGAGGAAGGTTACGTTATACACCTTATGTGGATCCGGTTCACATTCGGCATTTAATTACCCTAGGATCCAATCTTGGTTAGCCGACAATGGGAGTAATTCACCGAGGCGCCTTTATTAAAACGAATAACGCCGAATGTGTACAGAAAGCGATGCGTTCCACGGCTACAGTAGCCGTTTTAATTGAATTTTAAAACGGCCACGGGACCGTTTTGGCGATATTCCAAACAGCTTTCTACATCTCCGACTTTCGGCCAATTGTCTTCCGTTCGATTAAAAATCAACGGAAATAGCCGAGAGTATCGTTGAACGCGTCGTTTAACAGAGGACACTGCCCCACTCTCGTTTGGAACCTTTGAAAAAAACGTTAAAAATGCTCGCGCCATCGACGACCACGATGGATTTTACGGTAGAACAAAGTGAACGAAAAATCTCGAGTCACTTCGAACGACTTCGAAGAACGACCAGTGGTTCTTGAAACTTTGCTGAGATCTTGTTTGAAACACATTTAACGGTTTAAACAAAAAAAAAAAGAATTCGAATGTTGCAAGTGAGATTGATTATTTATCGACGTGGTCGGGTCAAGTTTGGTACGTATTCTTCCTCTTCAAAATTAGTCGCCATACCTTTTACGCTACCTTAAAACTACGGAGGATTATCTTTTTTTATACGTAGGCCCATAAATACATAGCAAACGAGGTGACACCGTATTAAATATAGTTTCGCTGCCGCGTAACCTCTGAAAAATACACTTTTGTTTTCACTGCCAGTCGCTTTTTTAAACCCGTTTAATATTTTAATACCGTCGCCGTGGTACTTTTTATTTAAAAAACGAAACTTTGCACTTGAATCTATAAAAAGCCAGTTTAATATCAAATATCGTAGAATACGATGAATTTCGAAAACTCCTGAATTTACCAAACGTTAAACTCGCCGACTGAAAACTGGACGAGAAGAAAAAAAATCTGCTCGCTCTACGGAGAAATTAGAGACAAGCGAAAAATAAGAAGAGAATTCTGAAAACTTTCGAACTGTCTCTTCCTTTGTTTATTAAATACGAAACTTTCCGTCGCACGCTCGAGTCCACGAAGACGTTAATATCGAAAGATTAACCTCGCGCGAAACGAACTTTGCTTTCTTTACGGAGAAATTAAAAACTGGTAAAAATGAAGGGAAAGAATTGGCAACTGAGAAACCATCTACCTTTGTTTATTCGAAAGCAAAATTTCACGTGTTCTCGGATTCAGAAAGACATAAAAATGAAACTGATCAAACTGATCGTACGCTCGTCGACTATACTTGAGCACAAAGAGTGTTCGATGATCAATAATGAAAAATAAGAACCCTCATTCAAGACTCGACTGCGTGTTCTTCAATTCGTTCAAAAAAAATTAATAAAAACTTACTTATTAAACACCGTGTAGCTATACTTAAATTCAAATCAAGCGAAGAACAAGGAAGAAGAAAGTTCTTGAAACTCTGAAACCGTCACCTTCGCTTCGTTTCTCGACTCTTCTCCCCTGACGTACGCGTCAGTTAATATCCCCATGGTGCGTGATCGATCCCGCGTGGACGTTACATGAGATTTTCGCACGCCCGTGGAAAAGCGGTGATCGGTGAAAGGATCCGCGAGCACGAAAAGAGGTAGGAGGACAGCGTGCTACCAACTCATTTGGACAGTGACAAATGGATTTAACGATGGATGACGCGTTTCAACGTTAAATGTATCTGCCCGTGTTCAAATCCGACTGTTTGTATCGGCTGCCGGCTCCATTTCGAATTTTCTCTTCAGGCTTCCCTTCTCTTCTCTTCTCTTCTCTCTCTCTCTCTCTCTCTCTCTCTCTACTACTATCTGCACACGACCATCCGTGAACACGCCTTTCCGATCCCATTACGCGCGTTATTTATTACCGGTCGCCGCGTGAAAATAGCATCGCACGACGTCAATGAAAGCGTCTGATAATTATGTGGCATGTGAGGGAAAGAGAGAAGAGAAGAGGAGGGAGAGAGAGAGAGAGAGAGAGAGAACAAGGGACCGATGGGGAGACCAGGCGCGGACGTTGAGAAACGATCGACGTGTGTACACGCGTATCAGCGGCAACTGTTTCGATTTATTCCATCGCTGGAAAATCATGAATATATATGAGCATGTTCGGTAAAGAGCAGTTTGCCAGGAATAATCTAGACATAAAATTGTTATTTGCAGTACGTTTGCAAAACAGTTGCAGCACACAAAAATTGTCTGTCGGTGGGATAGATGAGATTTTTAGGTATGAAAATAACGAATTTACATACAGACATGTAGGTACAAACTTCACAAAGGGATAACTCGTAAGAATTCATAAACATAATCTGCGAAAATGTTTTCTTTTTTTCTCTCTCTCTCTCTCTCTCTTTTGCTCGAGTCATCTCGCGTTTTTTCTTTTTTTTTTTAACCATTTTTAACGCTTCAAAGCGTTTCTCTGTTCAACTATCACAACTCATACAGGGAACTAACCTAACCTGTAAAAAAGCTGCGTTGTAATCGTCATCACTGGCAATAATAAAACAAACACACCGGTAAAAACCCGGCTAGCCGAAGAACCGGCACTCGTTCCCTTTAACAATTTCTCAAGCACCGCTAAAAATACAGAACATTCCCGCCGGTTCTCGTAAAACCTAGCAAACAGCCGCAGCAATGAATTCGCTAAGAGCTTGTAAATAAAACACGCGCTTACCCCCGATGCTTCTATCTTTTCTCTCTTCTTTTTTGCTTTTTTCCTTGTCTTTTTTTTCTTTTCTCTTTTTTTTTTTTTTTTTTTTGCGCCGCGTTCGCCATCGCCAAAAATATTAACCGACGGCGAAAGATAGAAATTTAATCAGCACTCACGTTCATTAGCATAAAACAAATAGAGGGGGGGGGGGACTAATTCTGACTCGTACAACACAAAGAGAAATAGGGGGGTGGGAGATGAAATTGAGAGGATGGCTGTGGGAAATTCGTTGGCGGGGGTGGCGATAAA